CTACTACTACTACTTCTACGCCTACTACGACCACTACCACAACAGCTACTGCAACTACAACTGCAACACCTACGACTGCTAGTACTATATAGTGCCGATACTAGTGCTAGTACTAATACTGGTACTAGTACTAGTACCACGAAAGTTTTTACTGCATAGCCGCAAATGACTATTGCTTTGCAGGCAGAAGGTGCCAACGCCACCGCCGCCGCCGCCACCCCCTGCAAAATCACCTGACCTGACAGACGACAGCTCCTTGACAGCAGTGGATATTTGCTGCGTCATGGATGTGTAGCAGCAGAGCTGGCCTAGCCTTTTGAGCTTCATGACACGTTTCAACGAGGAACAACCCACGTTATAAAGTCATGCAGGATTAGATCCGCTTAACACAGCAGTACACGTTGCTGGTGTACCGGGCTTTACAGCATTTTCGGGACTTGCAGCGTCCGTGTGTGGATGACATTGCACACTCGCACGTAGTGTTCTGGGGCCTCGTTCAACGAATTGCCACCGTTCGTCGCGAGGCCGCTCCGAACAGATCAGTGAACAGATCGTCCGCGGCCTACGGTTTAGGGTTTAGGGTTTAGGAATTAGACACGACCGGATGGTCGGAGAAATGCAGACCCCTGCGGCAAACATCTTGTGCTGAGCTGGGGCTTCGCGTCCGGCCATGCGTTGCAGTGCAGTCTCAAAGGGTTTAGGGTTTAAGGTTTAGGGTTTAGGGTTTAGGGTGGAAGAGTGGAAGTTCACTGACCCTAAATCCCTGAAAGCCCTATACTGCAGCCTAAATCCTCACCAGCTTGAGGTGGCCACTCCATCTGCACAGTTGCTCGGCAAGGCATGTCTCAAGTCCACACCTTTTCGAGCTTGCAGGAAATAGATGCAAAGAGCTGTGAACTTTAGAAGACATTATTAACCAGAATAGGGGAAAGCTATAGTGGAGCTACGTAGGGATTGTAAGGGAATAGGATTACTACTGTTGATAAAATAAATCCTGCATTACCTTAAGGGCCCTAAACTATGGGAATTAGGGCATATTCCTTATTATGGGTAATGCAGGATTCATATGGGTAGTTGTCAAAATTATGGTCCTTTTTGGGGTATCCTAAATAATAGGTGCCGTATTATAATAAGGACCCAAAAAGGGACCATAATTTTGACAACCACCCCTTTCATCAACAGTAGTTCGTCCGACCCTCACAGTCACCGCCCAAATCTTGTGCCGAGTGCGACAGGTTGATGTTTCATTCTTTAGCTCTCAAGTTAATGTAGGGTTTAGGGTTTAGGGTTTAGGGTTTAGGGGTTTAATGTCGGGGCCTAAATAGTTACCAAGACTATTTTGGAGGTTCCTTATTGTAGTTATAGTATATTGGGCCCCAAAACCCTGTTCTAAATAGTAAGGCCCCTACGTTACCACAGTATTGTGCTGTTGCTACAGCACATCCACACGGCAAGTCCGACTGCTTCAAAGCTATGAATTGAGCCTTGACGCCTCAAGGCCTATTGTCTGAAAGTCCTAACCTCTAGAGTTTAGGGTTTAGGGTTTCGGGTTTAGGGTTTAGGGTTTAGGGCTTAATCCAAAGTCCTAAGCCCTTCACTGTGCCTCTGAAGTGCC